GACGGTTTCCCGCGGTGACGGGACCAGTAACACCAGTAACCGCACCAGCGGGACCAGTAACAACACCAGTAACTCCGGTAAGGACACCAGTGAGACCAGTAAGGGCACTGGTGAGACCAGTAACACCAGTAAGGGCACTGGTGACACCAGTAAGGGCACTGATAAGGGCACCAGTGAGACCAGTAACACCAGTAACACCAGTGGCACCAGTAAGGGCACTGGTAAGGACTCCAGTAAAGGCACCAGTAAGACCAGTAAGGGCACCAGTAACACCAGTAAGGGCACCACCAGTAAGGGCACTGATAAGGGCACCAGTGAGACCAGTAACACCAGTAACACCAGTGGCACCAGTAAGGGCACTGGTAAGGACTCCAGTAAAGGCACCAGTAAGACCAGTAAGGGCACCAGTAACACCAGTAAGGGCACTGGTAGTGACGCTAATGACACCTTTAATGCCGCAGGTGACAACACCAGTGATGGCACCAGTGACACCAGTAAGGGGACCAGTAAGCCCAGTAAGGGCACTGGTAAGGACACCAGTAAGGGGACCAGTAAGACCAGTAAGGGCACTGGTAAGAACACCAGTAAGGGCACCAGTAAGACCAGTAAGGACACCAGTAAAGGCACTAGTGACACCAGTAAAGGAACTGGTAAGGACACCAGTAACACCAGTAAGGGCACTGGTAAGGACACCAGTAAAGGCACCGGTAACACCAGTAAGAACACCAGTAACACCAGTAAGGGCACTGGTAATGACGCTGACGACACCAGTGATGGCACCAGTGACACCAGTAAAGGCACCAGTAAGGGCACTGGTAAGGACACCAGTAAGGACACCAGTAACACCAGTAAGGGCACTGGTAAGGGCGCCAGTAGCCCCAGTAATGGTAGTGGTAAGGGCACCAGTGAAACCAGTAACGGCACCGGTAAGGGCACTGGTAACAACACCAATAAGGGCACCAGTGAGACCGGTAACACCAGTAAGGGGACCAGTGGCACCAGTAACACCAGTAAGGGCACTGGTAAAGACACCAGTGATCTAACAACACCTTTAATGCCGCAGGTGATGACACCAGTGCCCCCAGTGACACCAGTCAGACCAGTGCCACCAGTCCCAGCACCAGTCAGACCAGTGCCCCCAGTGCCCCCAGTGCCCCCGGCGCCCGCGCTGTTCTGCGGGTTCTGCGCCCACAACGGGGAGGCCCCGGCCGTGTTCGGGAGCCACCGGCTGCGGGACGGGGCCGGGCGGCTGCAGTGCCCGGTGCTGCGGGGCTACGAGTGCCCCCAGTGCGGG